ACAAAACCCAATTGTACTGTTTAGAAGAAAACACTTTAAATACAAAGATACAGCCACACTGAAAGTAAAAATGTGGAAAAAATACAAGATGCACACCCTAATTATAAGAATGCTGGTCTAGGGAGGAGGTTATAGCTCAAGTGGTAGAGCACATGCTTAGCATACACAAGGTCCTGGGTTCAATCCCCAGTACCTCCTCTAAAAAATAAATAAGTAAACCTAACTACCTCCCCCTGCAAAAAAACAAAACAAACGAAGAATGCTGGTCTAACACATTACCATACATAAAATAAGCAACAAGGATCTACTGCATAGCACAGGGAACTGTATTCAATTTCTTGTAGTAACATATAATGGAAAAGAATCTGAAAAGTATATATATATAACTGAATCACCTTGCTGTACAGTTGAGACTAACATTGTAAATCAACTATACTTCAATACAAAATAAAAAGTATTAAAAAAAGACTGGTGATCTAGCTATATTAATATTTGCTGATTGGACTTCAAGGTAAGTTGTATAACTAGAGATGAATAGGGTTATTTCATAAGAGGGTCAGATATATCAAGAAGATATTATAAACACAAAGCACTAAATACTTTAAAACATCAGAAGCAAAATTAACAAAATAAATCAGTAAGAATATGGACAATGAATATATATGTTCATGTATAACTGAAAAATTGTGCTCTACACTGGAATTTGACACAGTATTGTAAAATGACTATAACTCAATAAAAAAAGTTAAAAAGAATATGGAACATATGAATATTATCAACCAACTTGATCTTTTTTTTTTTTCCCCCAGTCAGGTAGGTTTTATTTACCTGGGATTTTACCCTCCTCTTAACATCATAGTCATTTGAAAATGATATTTAAAAAAAATTAACTGCCAGCATGGTAAGCCATTCTATCCTATTTTCAGCCTAGTGGACTTGAATTATTCAAATCAATTAACTCTAGCTGAGAAATTATTTTTCCAAAGTCATCATGATGTTAAGTGATATCAAGGGCTCTTGTCCTGAATCGTTGGTGCCCCTAGTATATTTGTTCTTTTTTTAATTCTCTGAGATATAATTCACAGAAAATACAATTCACTTAAAGCGTATACACAATTCAATGGCTTTCAGTTTATTCACAGAGTCGTGCAATCATCACCATGATGCATTTTTTTTATGATGTTTCCTTAGCCTTTAGTACTCACATCCCATGTCCTGATATCACCGTTCCCAGTCCTAGGCTACTACTAATCCACTTCCTGTCTCTATAGATTTGCGTGTTCTGGATATTTCATATAAATTGGATCATACACTATGTGGTCTTTTGTGACTGACTTTCATTTAGCATGTTTTCAAGGTTCATCCGTGTAACAGCCATTTATCAGTACTTCATTCCTTTTTATTGCCAAGTAACAGTCCACTAAATAGACCATATTTGATCTACCACCCATCTATCAGTTGATAGCCATTTTGTTTATTATGAATGTTTAGCTATTGGGAATAATACTTCTATAAACATTCACGTACAAGATCTTGTGTAGACATGTTTTCATTTCTCTTGCATATAAACCAAGAAGTTAAATTACTGAGTCATATGATAACTCTATGTTTAATCATTTGAAGAATTATCAGACTGTTTTCCAAAGCAACCATTTTACATTTCCACTAGGAATTGAGCGTTCCAATTTCTCCATATCCAGGCCACAGTCATTATAATCTTTTTTTTTAATTTTTTAACTATAGACATACTAATTGGGTGTGAAGTGATACCTCATAGTTCTGATTTGCATTTTTCTGGTGGGTAATGATGACCAGCATCTTTTCATGTGCTTAATGACTATTTGTATGTCTTTAGAAAAACGTCTATTCAGATCCTTGGCTCATTTTTAAATTAAATTGCCTTTTGATCATTGAGTTGTGAGAATTCCTTCTATGTTCTAGATACAAATCCCTAATCAGATACCTGATTTGCAAATATTTTCTCCCATCCTGTGGGTTGTCTTTTCACCTTCTTGATGTTGCCCTTTGAAGCATAAACATTTTTAATTTTCATGAAATTCAATTTATCAATTTTGCTTTGGTTATTTATGCTTTTGATGTCATGTCTGAGAAACTAGTGTCTAATCCAAGGTCATACACCCACTCTTTTCTCTCAAGAGTTTTAGTTTTACCTTGTCCATTTAGGTTTGATCCATTCTGAGTTAATTTTTATATGAATTCTTTTGCATGTGAATATGCCTAAACTGACACTACATCCAACAACATCTGAAGAATAGACATTCTTTTCAGAGAATACTCCCAAGAATAAATCATAAGCAGGCCAAAAAACAAGTCTCAATACATGTATTAAAACAAGTCTTAATACAGAGTACTATATTAGAAATTAGTAACAATAAGGTATCTAGAAAATCCCCCAAATATTAGGAGATTAAGTAATACATTTCTAAACAAAACACAGATAAAAGGAATCACAAGGGAAATTAGAAAATACTTTTAATCATATAATGAAAATTCCACATGCTTAAAAGAAAAAATACAGCTTTAAGTGTTTATATTAGAAAAGCAAAAAAAAATTATGAAAATCTAAGCTTCTACCTTAAGAACTAGAAAGGGAAGAGCAAATTAAGCCTAAGGTTAATAGCAGAGGGAATAGTTACAACATAACAATTATACACTTGACTGTATACAGATTAGTAGAAAATAATCCTCAAAAGTTAACAGGTATTTTCAGGGTGATTCAACAAAAATAGTTCTATGTTCATGTTTTTTGATACTTAAATTTTTTTCTTGGTTGAACATGTTGCTTCTATCATAAGAACATGACAATGTTAGCATTGCAGAATTTTTAGGCAATCTAGAATAAAATACCAAGTGTATGCCATATTAAACATGACTATGAATATAATCGCATTCATGAGTTTCAAGAGGGAAAGTAAATTTCTCAATTAAAAGAGATGTAAGAAACATATCAATCAAAAGCAGTGTGTGAACTTGAATCCTGCTGCAAGCAAGCCAACTTTAAAAATTATTGTAAGGCCATACGGAAAATTTTTAACAGTAACTGGATGTCTTATGCATCTAAGGGAATTTTTTACATTTTAGGCATGGAATTATAATTATTTTTTAAAGGATCTTTTACAGATACATATCAATCATTTATGTATCTAATAGGTACTAATACATACATATCATCCATGTAATAATTTATATAATTCTTTTTTTAATTATTTGATGAAACAGCATGATGCCTAGGATATACTTCAAAGCAATCCAGTAGTAGGGAGGGGGAAAGAGCTAAGGCAGGTATAGATGAAACAAGATTGGTCAAGTGATGATGACTACTGAAGCTGGGTGATGGATACATGGGGTTCATTAAACTGGTCCTTCTATTTTTTTTGTATGTATTTGAAACTTCCCTTAATAAAAAGCTTTTTGGGTTTTGAAAGAACAAAAAAGTAACTAAGGCAGTTCATTGGGCAATTACTGTTAAATCTGGGTAGCAGTTTATTGAAGCACAGTGTCTTAGACAATTCAGGTTGCTATAACAAAAATACCATAGACTGGGTGACTTACATGACAAACATTTCTCACAGTTCTTAGAGTCTAAAGACTCCAAGATCAAGGTGGTGTTAGATCCAATGTCTGGTGAGAGCTCTTTTTATGGTTCACAAACAGCTGTCTCCCCTCAGTATCCTCACATGGCAAAAGGGGTTAGGGAGCTCTGTGGGGAACTGATCCCATTCATGAGGGCTCTACCTTCATGACCTAATCCCCTCCCCACAGCCCCATCTCCTAAGACCATTACATTGAGGGTTAGGATTTCTGCATATTAATTTGGGGGGGGGGTGAGGCACAAACATTCAGTCCATAACAGGTATAAAACCTGTGTTAATGTCCCAGAGTGAGTCCCTGAGATATTTGTGGATTCTACACAATGTGAAACCTTAGCCAATATTCAAGGACATTGGACAGTCCAGGCCAGCGGAATTAAATTTGGTTACCTTCAGCCTTTTAGTTGTCACTGTTTCATGTCAGACTGGCTTCATGGGGAGGAAAGATACAACAATCATACTTGAGATTTAGAAGACTCTTAATAAGCAAAGCCACTGGATCTTATGATATAGTAAAGGCATAAACCAAAGACATATTCCATTTGCTGGCAGAGGGGGCGGTGGGAATGGGGGAGAGGGAAGAGGGTCTTCTTTAACGGAGTAGCTTTAAATATCAGGTACTTCAATACAGGGAAGGAAAGGGATTATATTACATTTCCATGTAAAGAACACAATGTAAAGTTTTCCATACTTTTCAGGAAATGAAACAACATAATAAACAGACAAGCTAGCAAAAATTCATTCTGAAAAATGGAGGATAACTTTATCATCGACTCTTCTGAACCATAAAAATGATCTACTCCCAGTGAGCCAAACTAGGAAAATTTATCCTCAGCCTAGTTTCTGGAAATAGAAAATATTAACTTATATTTTTATATTTAGAATAAATGTTAAAGCCTTGGTTTTTACCTTATATACAAAACTAAATCTTACTTATTACTTCAAACCATCTTTTTAATTAAACACTTGAAAAGTATCTGCCATACCTACCAAAAAGCAAAAAAAAATTTTTCTCCATGATAATATGAAGCTTGCCACCTAAAAAGTGCTTAATGACTATGAAGTAGAAAATTCATTTTTGTAGTATAGATAAGTACCTACTCCCTTGCACACACTGAGCTAGACTCCGGAATTATAGTCTACCTTCTGTGGTCATTTCCTTGTTCCCTATCTCCTCAGTTAAGGACAAGAATCCTCTCCTCTGTATTTTTCATATGAATCTCCTTTCTCTACTCAGGACAATTCTGTACCATACCTGTCTGTCCCTCCTTGACTGTGAGCCTCCTGAAGGCGGGAACTGCACCTTATCCATCCCTATAACCCATGCACTAGCACAAAGCCAGGCCCGTAGAAGGATCCTGTGAGTGTTTGGTGGACTGAAAGCATCTCATGCAAGAGAAGAAAACAGGTAAAGGAACCACTGCAGCAATGTCCTCGGTGTCACACTGAAGTATTATACGGGTGCTATGAGACTACAGAAAATGATCTCTTTTATTGGGTGGAAAATCCGAGAACCTTTCTAGGAGGGATGAGGTTCGAGCTGAGTTTTGAAGGATAAATAGGAGATAATCTCATGAATAAGGTAAAGGGTAGGGAGACTAGAAGGAATGATATTCCAGGTAGAATGTCATTCCAGGACTGAGACACGAAACAGCCACACTTGTTCTAAACAGTCATGTCCAAGACAGGTAAAGGAACCAGCAAAATCCAGACATAGAAACTCCAATGGTCAAATAATCCAATTTCCTCAGCAATCAGTTATAAAGGAGAAAATAGGACCGAAGGAGGACCAGAGGCTAAAAAAAAAGCTTAAAACTCACACATTTTTAGAAAAGCAAAACTAAAGCAGAATATTTAAGGATGTCTGTCAGTGTGATGAAACTATAAACAAATGCAAAGAGGTGGTATAAATAAAAATCTGTACTTTTATTGGGGAAGCAAGGGACTGTGATTGGAACAGGGGACACAGAGAGGGTTCCAGGGTGACTGGCAATGTTCTGTTTTCTGATCTGAGTGACAATTACAAGAATATTCACCTAGTAACAATCCATTAAAGTATAAATTTGTTTTATGTGGTTTTCTATATCTATGTTACATTTTACATTTTGAAGGTTTTTAAATTTTTTTTTTTTAAATCTACACTGGAAGACCTTTCTAAATTGGATCTTGGACACTGATGCAGCCCAGGTCATTTCAGTAAGCTGGAGACCACCCACTACATTCAGTTCTGGGAGGCATAGAAGTCAACGATTTTGATAAACAAAGACTTCTGATGGCTTACTAACGTTTATATTAAAACCAGTAAGAGGTAAACTTGGATAAATAAACTGTGTTATCCAAGCTTAAGACTCAATTCTTTTTCCTCTGTTGTAGCATAAAAACAAAAGCTATAAACTATAAAATTGAAGAATCTCATCATTAGGCAAGATCTTACTGGTCAACTGGCCCCAACATTATACAATCACGTCTTAATCCCACCTACAGCATCCCCGAGAAACAGCTGTCTAACTTTTACTTGAAAATCTTTAGCAAATGAGAATTTACAATCTTTCTAAAATGATTAAGATATGTAAACAAATGAAGAGAAACTCAGATCATAGTAAGTAAACCCCTCAAATGTTCAAGGGCTCAGAATATTAGCATTTGACACATTTAGTTACGCAGTGTAACCAAAAAGCCAAATTATTATTTCAGTGTGACCACCATTGCTCAAAATATTTTGCAACTCCTTTTTTGGAATTCCCTCCAGAATCCGCATCACTTTCTTTTATATATATATAAATATATATGGACTTTTGACATTTAATATTGGTGATGCTTGCTAAGATTTAAGATCTCCAATATGCATCATTTTCTCTTGAATAGGATCAAGGATGACAAACCTTAAAATCGTAAATACCAGTCTGTTAGAACTCTGAAGGACTTCAGGGATCATCCAGGGCCCTGTCCTAGTTTATAAACACGGAAGCTGACATTTAGAGAAGTTTGTCCCAGGTGAAAGAATATGGTTTTTGGAAACAGACAAGTTGGTATTTCCAAGAACGGTGAATACATTTATTCATTCATTCAATAAACATTTGTTAGTAACAGCTATGTGCCAGGTTCTGTTCTAAGCAATAGGAAGCACAAAGGGAAATATAACATCAGTCTTCGACTTTGAAGAACGCACAGCATCGCCGAGGAGAAGAGGGTGGTACCCAGATGAACAACTAAATGAGCTCAATACTGAAAATGCCATGAGAGAAATGCACACAAGCTATCTGAGAGCACTCAGAAGGTACACCTAACCCAGCCTGGGAGCTGAAAGGTTTCCTGGAAGCAGTGACAACTGAATGGATACCAAAGGAATTAGCAGGAGTTAATAACGAAAAGAGAGAGTAGGAACAACAACAAAAAGCACGCTTACATAACCTGCAAAGGAGAAAGGGAGAGAAAGCACAGCACAGCCAAGGCGGGTCAGGTACTTGGGTGTGGCCAGCACAGAGTGAGGGTGTTGAGTGTGCTGTGAAAGAGGGCATCACAGGACAAGACGAGGAGAGGCTAGGGGCTCTGAATACCATGGTAAGGAGTTTGATAGTATTAAGATGAAAGAATGAGAGCTTTGAATGAAATAGTTGGGATGGAGAGAAGTGATAAATGTGTGACAAATGAAGGAAACAGAATTAACAAAAGTAAATATGAAGGGAATGAAGGAAATGGAGGTGAGAAAGACGGAGGGAAGAAAGGAAGGAAGGAAGGTTTCCTTCTGAGCCACAGGTTTCTCTGTCCTGGATAACTGGGTGACTGCTGAGATGAGAAGTACAGGAGGAGGGCGTGGTTGGCAAGACAAGGCAATCAGATATGTGCCCTTAAGACATATTGAACATGCGGAAAATCCAGACAGAGATATCCAGAAGACAGTCAGCTATATGAATCTGGAGCTCAAAAAAAATCTGTGCTAGAAATAAAGATTTAGTAATCGCAGCAAACAGTGGCTATCTTGGGCAAATAGATTGCCCTCAGCCCACAGAGGAAGATATTAAAATGGTTGAGATGCTCCAGAACAGTGTGTAGCAGATGTAAATTAAACAGCAAGGGACAGAATCCTGGGAAGCACCAATACTTATGGGAGGAGTAGAGGGTGTAGAGCAAGTAGAGCCTGGAAAAGAGTGGTCAGGCCAAGCCAGCGCAAGCAGCTGTGTGCTACAGACACACTATAACACACACACACACACACACACAGAGATTTGGAAACTAAGGAACAAAACTGCTACTATTTGCAGATGATACAGTTTTCTGCATTAAAAATCAAGAGACTAAATGCAACGTAATATTCTGGACTGGATCCTGGAATAGAAAAACGGTGTTAGTGGAAAAAGTGCTGAAATCCAAATGAAGTCTGTAGTTTAGTTAACAGTAATGTACCAGTATCAGTTTTTTTTTAAGTTTTGACCAAAGTGCCACAGTTATGTAAGATGTTAACCTTAGGGAAAGCTGGGTAAAAGATATAAGGGACCTCTGTAAAATCTTTGCAACTCTTCTATAAATCTACAATTATTCTTAAATGAAAAGGTTTTTTAAAGTCAAAATAAAATGCAAATGAACTATTGGAAATACTTCAGTAAGGCTGCTTCATACAAGATTATATAAAAATTAATTGAGTTTCTGTAATCCACAACAAGCTGTGAGAATATACAATTACTTTCAAAAAGATAACATTTGAGATAATAACTAAATGTACATAGGACTTATACGGAGAAAACTATAAAATCTGATTGAAAGTCATTTGGAAAAGACTTCATGGGGGAGCTATATATATGCTTACAAACGGGAAGACTGAATATAGTTAAGATGTAACTTCTCGCCTCAAATAATCTATAAATATAATAAACCCACAAGACAATGGTCAGAAGTAGAAAACCAAGGAAGGGTAAAAACCAAATGAAGAGAGAATCTCAAGTGGGACCTTCTAATGTTAAATGGTACAAAGGAGGTCAGGTAATATAAGACTGAAAAGTAATCCCTGAATTTAACCAGAGTAAGAATTTGGGAACAGTGAATGCAAACAACTTCCTCAAGAGGTTTGACTGAAATAAACCACAGAAATTAGATTGTAGTGCTCAGAAAAAATAACACAATGTCAAATGCATAGATTCTGGGGTCAGACGGAATTGGACTCAAAAAATCAGGTTTCACCACTTACTGGCTGAGTTTACTGCTCCACCTGCACAATGGAAAATAATTGCTATTGCACAAGGCTGTCATGAAAATTAGATATTAGATCTCTCTCCCGATGTAAACGTTTTAGCATACAATAATCAAAGATGTTGGCCTCCTACTCTGCCTGCTTCTTTTCTAATGCTTTGTTTTGAGATTTAAGGAATTATATGCATTGTTAGGAAACCTTGTACTTAACCAAGGACATGAGGATATCTAGGAAAGGGCAAGTATGACCTACAAAATGTGGCTCAGGCATCTTTCAAAACATATGTCATTTATGCTGTATATAACATCTTACCATAGTGAAGCTGATTCTTTACCTCTAGCAAATAAAGTTATGGTTTCACTATTCTTAAGGGAATGTAAGCGGTACTTACTGCAAAGAAGACACAGACCTTATACAACTTGTCAATCTATTATCTTGTGTTTACACTCCACAAAATGGTATCCGTTGCCTTTTATGTGTGAGGAACTATTCTAGGAGCTAGAAATACAATGGTAAGAAAGAACAAAGTCTCTGCCCTCACAGAGCTCACGTTCTAGTGGCAACTGCATGGTATCTCTTTAGTTGGGCCACCATTAATGTTATTTCTCATTTAAGTAATCTAAAGCCGAAGCACAGGGAAACTTTTAACTTAGTACATGCAAATAATCGGAAAGCAGCTATCAAACACTATTTCAAGGTTCACTCTATGGGTCCACAAACAACAAGTATTCATACTCCAGACATCCTCATCTCAGAGCACAGCACACATTTTAACTTCTTACTTACTCATTCACAAAAAACATTTTAATTTAAAACTTAGTGCTAGAGTGTGTTAGCTTTCAAATAAAGTCATGTTTTTGAGTCAAAAAGTAACTGAGTCAGGTTTAGTAGTCTCCTTGGAACCAAAATTCGTGAGTAACTGATATCTACCTTCCAAGACATAACCCACTGGTTTCTTTTCTTCTATCAGGAATCATTTAATTTAAAATTATGTTGAAGACCTGCATAATGCTACGTAACAAAAGAAACGCATTTGCTGAAAATGAAAAACTTTAAATCTCCATATGGAATACTGGAGGTAATAAGCAGATCCATAACAAAGAGCAGCAACCTAAATTTATTTATCTATTCCTTCCTTCCTTGGGTGAACAAAACACAAATTTGGCTAACAAGCTTTGCACAGCCCTCTCATTAAACTTTCCTTTTTCAGTATGTCCTTTTGCATATCATCCCAGAACCCCCAAACCACATATTCCATTCTCTTCACAACTCAACTGGCTGGTTTAAAGTTTATAGATAAGAACATTAGACACACAGATAGCTCATTAAAATTCTTAGCAACTCCGTTTGCAAAACTCAGTTTGCAAAGAAGGTTAAAATTGGACATAATATGAAAAAAAGAAAAAGAGGAAAGAAGGGAAGGACTGAGAAATCCATGAATTCCTTCATTACTACTCAATCAGGACATGGATTTATGAGTCCATTAAATCTTTCTGCGTACCAATTCTTATATTCACAAAGTGGCAATTGTTTTCATTAGGGTGAAGGAGAATTAATAAAATGGCCGCACTCAGGCTAACAGACTGCTTACTGTTATGCTTGCCCTTAAAATGGTCAACTAACCTGACTAACCAGTTGCTACTCACAGCTCCAGGCCCACTGTTAAAAGTAAAGCTATTAATTTTACTGTTTCTATTTTATTCCAGTAATT